AATCTTTCATATCTAATGACCAAGTTCTGACCTGGAACCTCCATAATACCATCTACAAATTACCTCCTCCTCAATACCCACCACTGTATCTCCTCTCCTTTCAAAATAGCCTATTTGGTAAGCAAATTCCTTACCTCCTATTCTGCCTTTTCCTTGTCCATCCTCTATTCTATAGGCACAATGACTTTGCAAAAATGCAAATCTGATAACTACCCCTCCCCATTCCCACTGGAAGATGCTGTGGATAGTGTAAAACCACAGCTGTTTTATACTCCCTTTTCCTTAACACTCACAAAGAAAGAATGAAATTGTGTTCCCTCAACTCCCTCACATCTATTAATAGGGTGTTCATTTGGGGCCAAGAATTATAAGGCATTTTGTTGAGTGACTTCTGGGAAAGTTTTACATTTCTAATAAAGGAAATTGCATTAATTCTCCCAATAGCAGTCAGAGCTAGTTCTGAAAAAGATAGCTAAGAGTACAAGAGAATTTTTTCAGAAAGTTCATGGGTGGGCTAGTCAGTAGCATGGTGGTTAAGGTGGCTGGATGCTACGTGGCCAACTATTTAGAGTCCTGGACTCAATGACATGGAGAACACACTGGGCATATGCACATGTGTACCCCAAATCATGAGAGAACAATGGAGAAGAAGGGATTGTAGCATGGCCATTCCCCTGGGGATTGCTCGCTCGGCTCTTGCTCTCTCTCTCTCTTTCTCTCTCTCCTCCCAACCCAGAAAGCACACATGCCCTATAGTAAATTTAAAAAAAAAAAATTCATGAGTCTTGCATTTTCTGAATAAACAATGCATACATCTCAAGATTGGGGCACCAAATTAATATGTACTTTCATTTCAGTTTTCCATGACATTTTAAAAGTCTTGTATCCTTTTGTTCTGAAATGCTCTTTTGGAAACAGGCATGATTTACACTTCTCCCTAGGTTTATAATCCATTGAACTGTTTTCAATTCTTACCCTTTTAATATACTTTTTCTCCCCATAGTTGACTTTTTGGCTCAGCAGATGTATCATTTACTCACATAGTAACAGCAGCTATGTTAATGTTTCTCTTTGGCCCCACCCCCAAGAAGACTTCATGGTATTTGAATGGTAAAGAAAAGGTAAAGATACATAGGATTAGCCTGGCCTCTTCAAAATTGAATTGCATTGGGAACCAGCAGTTAGCGTAATGGCTATGTCACTGGACTCCCACGTAGTCGACCGCGGTTTGTGTCCCAGACCCGGTAGCTTAAAACTCACGCGGGGCGCGTGTGCATGCGTGCCCAAGATCCCGAGAGGAGAATGGAGGAGAAGGGATTGCGGCGTGACCATCCCCCCTGGGGGGTGATTTCTCGCTTTCTGTCTCTATGTCTCTCTCTGTCTGGCGAGCGCACGCGCCCTACAGTGAAAATCTCTCCAAAAAAAAAAAAAATTGAATTGCATTTACATTAGCTCAAATTCACTCATGTGAGGTGAAGTTGTGACCCACACAAAGCACACAGTCAAATTTAATGCCATAGGTGCTATGTCATATTCATTTTATCGCCTTCCTTGTGCACGTGGAAATTTTAACCCAGGTCTTATACATTTCTCACTTCACACATTTTTTCTGTTTTGCTAATTCAGGCAAAGTGGAAATTTTCGTGAAGTGAGAAATGTACAAAGCTTTGTAATTATAATCTTCTTTACCTTCACTCTTATCTCTAGATTTTAGGAAAAGTTCCAGCAGAGTCCTTACTTTATTTCTCCTTATATCCGATCATTTAAACAATCTAACTCTTAAAATCTTTTTTCAATACATTTTGAGAAAAGAAAATTTCAAATTCCACCTCAGTTTTTCAATGAAACCACTGCTCTAAGAGTAAAAATATGGTATAACCATGTAATATTATTTTTCTTCATGCAATTGTATACATTAGTAGAAGAAAAACATGTATCACGATCCAAATAAATCTACCCAGTAAGCCAAACTGATTAATTTACTCTTCTAGACCTTTATTGTATTCTCTAAGGTTGCTTCTCTTATAGGATAAGCAAAAGCCAGTTTGGTATAGTCTCAATCATAGTTAAAACTAATTTGTAGCCCCCTGGGACTGCCAATAATGGTAAACTGCAAAGCACTATCCAGCTACACACTAATTTTTTCTCCCAAACGATTCTACCCTGGCCATTTCAGAAGATATCTTTTCTTTTTTACTTTTTCTTTTCTTTCCTTTTTTTTTTTTGAGAGGTTTTTGCTATAGGATACGTACACTCACCAGACAGACAGAGAAAGACAGAAAGACAGAAAGCGAGAAATCACCCCCCAGGGGGTTGGCCACACCGCAATCCCTTCTCCTCCATTCTCCTCTTGGGATCTTGGGCACGCATGCACATGCACCCGGCGTGAGTTTTAAGCCATAGGGTCCAGGACTCGAACTGCGGTTGACTACATGGGAGTCCAGTGAATGGCTATGTCACTGAAGATATCTTTTCTGTAGACAAAAGTGTAGTTTGTTATCACGTGCTGGAGGGAGACTGTATCATGTCCAAATCCATCAGTGCATAAACTGAGTTCCTCCATGCCTAATCATTTCAGGAACTTGGGTGACTTCTAACCAGGGATATAACTAAGACACTTTAGTCTTCTACCCCCCCTTTCTGAACCAGTAACTAGGGTTTGTGATGACATCTACATGACCCCAAGTACTTGAAAAGGAATGTTTTTATCTCCAGTCATCTTGGTCTGATTTGCTTGACCATATAGCAAGGCCACTGGCTATAGCCCAAGAGCACGTAAGTATCCAAACAACTTCCTGAGGAGAGGAGTCTTGCTCCACTTCCAATGTTAGACAACCCCAGCTGTGCTCATTACACAGCATTGAACTGACTTCTTTCCTTAAGGCTTACTCTTCGGTGTGCTGCGGATTTCTACATAGCAATACCATTCTCAACCTGGACACTCCATCTAGAGAACAATAAACAAGGCCAACAATCCAAGTCTTGCCTCATCTCAGAGAAAATGTCTAAGACTAGGTCAGTGATGGAGAAGAGAGGCCTTCAGAGGACTCTGTCATTGTTCTGGCAGGGAATAAAGCAACTTCTCCTATATGTGCTGAACACCCCTTGTAGACTTCCCCTTAGTGTGCTCTTGGGTATATTACTTCTACTTTATGACTGAAACTATTGGGCTGTTTTTAATATTTACTATTCACGAGTCTCACTGGCATCACCCAAGACATGATTTATATTACTAGCTTTCTATCAGTTGATGCCTTTCTACGGTGAGGACAATTCTGATAAAGGTTAACTAGAAAGCCATCTTTTTTTTTTTTTTTAAATGGGAAGCTTTTTAGTCTAAAACTGAAGAGCTATTCACTGGGTAATGTATTTGATTTCTTTCAAAAGCTCCAATCTGCATATATTGTGATAGTAGGGCATTCTATTGTAATATTATTTAAACAGTTGGTTCATGAGAACTAAGTGAAAATACCTATGCATTTCTCTTTTAAAAATTCTTAACACTGCTATATACTCAAAGACCAATTGCAATTCAGATTATTTTTCTGGTGATTTGTCTATCAGGTTCAGTAGAATTTTTAGATGAGGAATATAATTTTGCCAAGAAGTATCCATACTTGCTTGCCTTTGAGAAAGTCTTGTTCATTGGCAGGGCCTCTGAGAGATAATGTAAATCTCACAGTCTGATAATGTTGCTGTTAGCTGCAGTTAAGAGTCCCCTTCTATTTATCGTAAAGGTGACCATGTCCCTTAGAGCTCCCTGACCATCCTCCAGTGAGGCAGTTCTCATGTCAGGAGCACGCTGCACTAACTTGTTCTTAATGGTTATCAGTCTAATCTCGTCTCATTAGACTATGATACTAGATGAGCGAATTCTAGTACTTTTGTGGCAAAATAGCAAATGTATGCCAACTTCAGTTCCACAAGAATGTAAACTATGCTTGACTGGACTCTGAACTGAAACTGAAAAAAAAGCATAATAAAGACCGAAAATGGCAAACCAATCGCCTGTGGTTTCTCTGCATACTCATATCAGATAGAACTGAAGCTATCAGAGAAACCCATTTTTGAATCCTCCATGGTCTACCATTAACCTCTATGAACAATCTGTCTCATGCCTGGGGGCCTGACAGGATTGTTAAGTAAACTAGTAGGAATCAAAACTTACACCTTTCACCTTGCTTATATTCTTTATCACAATAGCTATCTCTTTTTTTTTTTTTTTTTGAGAGAGATTTTCACTGTAGGGCACGTGTGCTCGCCAGACAGACAGAGAGAGACATAGAGACAGAAAGCGAGAAATCACCCCCCAGGGGGGATGGCCACGCCGCAATCCCTTCTCCTCCATTCTCCTCTCGGGATCTTGGGCACACACGCACACGCGCCCGGCGTGAGTTTTAAGCCACCGGGTCCGGGACACAAACCACGGTCGACTACGTGGGAGTCCAGCGACATAGCCATTACGCTAACTGCTGGCTCCCACAATAGCTATCTCTTAATGCCTTCCCAGAATTCGGGATTGCTTAATGTTTACTAAGAAGGAAGACTAAGATAATTGCAAAGATTCCCATGCGGCATGGCCAACTGAAACCAGGCAAAAAGTAAGAGCACTAAGTCTCATTCATGTCTAAAGGCATTCCAGTTACACACTCAGGTTAAGGCAATGCCCACTCAATATCTCCAGTCACACTTGGTTCCTTCCACATATCCTCTCAGTTTTATCTTCAGGCCTGTTAGTGTACTGTCCCTGTCTTCCATGCTTAGTAGAGGATTTGCCCTACTTACCTTATTTCTTTCTTGGAATCCCACCAGCAAAGAGAGCGAATGAATTGCAGGCTTGTCCCTTTCCCTCCCAAAGCCACAATCATGGCTGCTCCCTCTCTGCCTACTTCTCCACATGATAAACAAAACATACCACCATCCTTAGTGAGATTAACTGAGTTAGGTTACATTTCCTAGAAAGGAAACCTAGGAAAGGGATTCGCCTCCCCAAGACTTACCGGGGGGAGAGGTGTTCTTCAGAACAGATTTCCAGGCTTGATGAAAAGAGTGAAGCAGAAGCAGGAAGAGGAAAGAATCAGAATGCCCTCAGGTACGGAATAGCACTGGCCTGATTCCCAAGGACGGGGTGTACTGGAGCACAAATTGCATCACCTAAATTGCTCTTCTTTGTGGTAAAGAAATGGTCTATTATGCTCCTCTACCAATTAGTTAGGCCTTGGTGTTAGGCTGTAGTCTCTCAGAGAGGTGATTGCCATCATCTGAGAGCAACTCTCCAGGGATGTGGATGGGCGACAGCTGTGTGACTTTAACTGCCAACAACATTTTGACAGCTTGAAGATGTGTGTAATTGCTAGTAACAGGATTTGGGAGGGCACCGACATCATCTAATATGCATGTTCTACTCCACTATATTTCACACGCGTAGCTGGCTTGAGAATTCTAGCTAAACATGTACTACAGAGAAAGCTGAAAGTAGTTCAGAAATGTTGGTAAAGCAGCAGGCATACCATATAAGGGAAGTTGATGGTGTCTTTTGTAAAGCAAAATTGCCTGCATCCTGGACCCCTGAGACAAGTGGCTACACAGATCTAGTATAGGTGAGTATACCGATAAACATGAGAGCTCACCAGTTACAATAGATTGTTCTAATTCTGCTGGCAGAAACATGGTTGAAAAGCACTTACAGGGAACCAGCAGTTAGCGTAATGGCTATGTCGCTGGACTCCCACGTAGTCGACTGCGGTTCACGTCCTGGACCCCGTGGCTTAAAACTCACGCTGGGTGCGTGTGCGTGTATGCCCAAGATCCCGAGAGGAGAATGGAGGAGAAGGGATTGTGGCGTGACCATCCCCCCGTGGGGGGTGATTTCTCGCTTTCGGTCTCTATGTCTCTCTCTGTCTGTCTGGCGAGCGCCCACACCCTATAGTGAAAACCTCTCCAAAAAAAAAAGCACTTACATAATTTGAGCATTTACCAGCCATTCCTTTTGGATAATCAGTCCCTGTGCCCCATCACAGAATATCTTAGATACAAAATACAGGGCCCTCACTTGTTTTAGGAATAAGGAAGATACAACCAGTCTTTAAGATACACATTTGTTACACATTACCATACCTATGATACTCTTGTACTATTGAGTTGCCGGAAAAGTCATAAAGCATTTTTGCATAGAAATATACTACATGACTTTTCCAATGAACGAATGATTTGTCTCCATATCTCTACTGCTTTCTTGGTTTCTATTCTCCTTGAACGTAGTAGGTCCATCTTATATGCCTTTTCATTTTATTCTCAGCAGGAGGCCAGTATCATTTTGTTGTATAAATGTAGAAATAAATGAGTACTAAGAAAATGGCCTAAGGACCTACAATTCCATCTGGAAAAATCATCATTTTTGTGGAATAAAAAATATCATAAGATACTTTTAGATTTCTCAAGAAGTAATTACTTTTTCCAGTAATCACCCATCATAATTCATAGGCAGTTGCAGGTCCTAAGTTTGTTTTGCTTGTTTTTACTCCTTCAAGATTACTAGGGCAAGACTGAATTCTAATTAAAGCTTAATGCACAAATGCAAAGGAAGAAAAAAAAAAAGGAAATAAAATGTCAATGAGAATTTCCAATCCAAACAAAATTTTTCCTTGGAAAAACAATACGTAATGTCTTCTTTGACAAAAAGACTGGGAAGTGAATATAAACCTATTCTTATAATTTGACAGAATATTATTGGAGTTACTGACATTGCATTATAGTTAAGTAGGGGCTAAAAAAGCAGGACTTTTAATCTTCCAAGCTTTGGAAACTAAGTAACAATAGTGGTGTTTTTCTTTTTAACAACAGACTGTGTTTCTTTTTCCATGGCCAGGAGCATTAATACAGCATCAGAATGATTCTCGCCAGTGTTTGTAGAATTTGCCTGTGTGTGTTAGTGTTCTCCAGAGAAACAGAGCCAGGTGGGGGATATACTTGAAGGGATCAGCTGATGTAATTGTGGGAGCTGCTACAAAATATGCAGGGGAGGCCAGCAGACTAGAGACTCTGAGTCCAAAAACATTCTGCTGGCAGAACTCTCTCTTCCCTGACCTTCCTCAGTTTTTTTCATAATTAAGGCCCTTAGCTGATTAGATAACATTCACCCACATCATGGTTTACACAAAGTCTTCTAATTTAAATATTTATCTCACCTAAAAAGCACCTTCACAGACACTTCTAGAATAATGTTCTAGAATTTTCTGGACACCAAATTTCTGGATACCACAGCCCAACCAAAACTGACATAAAATTAACGATTATTTGTCCCTGACTTTTGCAAATCTGTGAAGTATTCCATTCCTTTTGCCCTTCATAATTCACACTGTAATTTCTCCTGTTTTGATTCCTGTGCATTTATTTACAAGTCTATCATTTAATTTCTATTCTTAAAGGTTTCTGGTTGCTTCAGCATATTTTACATATCAATCACGTCCTTCCATGAATTAGTTGAAAAGTAAAATTTTCTCTACTTTTACACCTTCTATACTGACTTTTAGTCCTTTTTTTTTTTTTTATGGAGAGGTTTTTGCTCTAGGGTGCATGCACACTCCAGAAAGATGGAGAGAGACAGAGAGACAGAAAATGAGAAATTATCTCCCGGGGGGATGGCCACACTACAATCCCTTCTCCTCCATTCTCTCAGGATCTTGGGCATGTGTGCACATTTGCCTGGCATTAGTTTAAGCCTCAGGTCCAGGACTCGAACCGTGATCAACTACATGGGAGTCCAGTGACATAGCCGTTACTCTAATTGCTGGTCCCCTAGTCCTATTTTCTTCAAATAATCTGAGATTGGACCAGCCCCACGGCTTAATGATTACAGTAGCTAAATCTCATACTCCTCACCACACAGTTCAAGTCCTGGCCTGTGCAGCTTGAGAAACATACTGGGCACATGTGCAGTCATTCCCCAAATCCTGACAGGATAGAAAAATGGAAGAGAGGAGATTGTAGCATGACCATGCCCTATTGGGGAATGCCTTCTTCCTCTTCCTCTCTGTCTCTCTTTGGCAAACACATACACACTCTGTCAAACTAA